TACTCAGAGGCAGTTGGAGCTCTGTGATTTTGAGTCCAGCCAGGTATATAGAGCGTGTTCCAGGACAGTCAGGGATGTTATACAGTAAAACTCTGTCTCAAAAAAAAAAAAAAAAGAAGAATTAAAATAAATTGTAAAAAATTGGAGTGAGCCGGGTGGTGGTGGTGCCCACCTTTAATCCCAGCACTCAGTAGGCAGAGACAGGAGGATCTCTGTGAGTTAGAGGCCAACTTGGTCTTCAGAGTGAGTTTCTGGACAGGCTCCAAAGCTACAGAGAATCCCTGTCTCAAAAAAAATTGGGGTATATATGTGTGTATATACATGTACATGCATGTAGGACATAAGGGACAACTTGTGGGAAGAAGTTCTTCTTGCCATGTGGTTCATGGAAATAGTCAGGCTCGGTGGCAAGTGCTTTTGCCCACTGAGCCATCTTGCTGGCCTTGCAGTTCATCAGATTCTGCCAGCATAGGAGATTGAACTCAGGTCGTCAGGATCACAGTAAGTGCTTTTATCCATTGAGCTGTCTCAACAGTCCTAAATATATGTTTTTCGTCCTCTTCTCAAAGGTGAGAAAGTGGTTTTCACTGTGCTGACGGCACAGATACTAAAATTGAAATGACACAGAGATTAGCATGTGGGATGACATGCAAATTCATAAAGTATTATGTATTTTTAAATACAATTTTATTGTATAATTATTTGTTCCATTAAAATCCATTAACCTGCAGCAGCAAAAAAAAAAAAAAAAAAAAAAAATAGGAAAATGGAGGTTGGGCCTGTGGTGGTGCCCACTTTTAATCCTAGCACTCAAGAAGCACAGGCAGGCAGATCTCTGTGAATTTGAGGCCAGTCTGGTCTATACAGCCAGCCAGAGCTACATAGTGAGACTCTGTGGGGAAAGAGGAGTGGGGGACAGGGAGAGAGATGGAGAAGGGAGCACGGACACAGTAAGTAACTGCCAAGAGTGACAAAATCAAGATCGAAACCCAGATTGTCAAATGTCAAAGATTCTCATGCCAGAAATGATCCTAACCATTACCTGTGTAGTCAGTGAACCTCTGAAAGGCAGGCAGTTTCTCCCTCGAGGATACCATTGTTGGGGACTGACGGAACCATGGAATAAGTCTTCAGTAGGTAGGGAGCCCTCCCCTCTTCCCCCTTCGTGGTCAAGTGTTAAGGTTCTACTGTTAGGCCTTGAAGTCTAAAGGTCAGAGAGACTTAGGAGACTTTTGGTTCTGGCTAGTCTGGGGGAGGGAGAATACCTAGGACAGGGGGCTGTGTCCTTTCTCCTCTCCATTTCTAGTGGGCTCACATTTCCCTGCTCACTTTCTTTCCATTGGCCCAGGAAGACGTGCCCCAGGGAGTTCAGGGATCAGCCTCATGGACTCTCTGTCCCTGTTACCCATCTGTCCCTCTCCCCCTGCTTGGGAAACAGGTGCATCTGAGCCAGAGCTGGAAGCAGAGTGCTTGGCCACCCGCGTAGGTTAAGTGGGTTATTTGTTCCTTCCCCACTCAGGCAGTTCCCGCACACACTTCCCTAGCTCAAGCTCACGGAACCCCATCTTGTCTTCTTGCCTTGCGAGAGCTTTCAAAGGAAGGCTCAGCGTCACTTCTGCCAAGCTGCTCATGGCTTCCTCTGGATGCTGAATCACTCTGGTGCCTGCAACCACAAGACCTCCTTCCTCCCAGTGAGAAACATCCTTTTTTTCCCCTGGATATATTGCTCACTCTTAACACTGCAATGCCCAGAGCAGCCCTCAAGCCTGGCAAACGCTCTCTTTCAAATCCCATAGAAACGCTGTGCTCTCATGCCCACAGGGCTGTCACAGAGGGTAAAATGAGAGATATTGACAGAGCACAGGCAGGGAAGCAGAGAGAACACGGTTAAATGCTGTGTGTAGGTACCATATGTATGGTATGGGTTTTTTTTGTTTTTTTTTTTTTTGTTTTTTTTTTTTTTGCTAGGGGGCTGGAGAGATGGCTCAGAGGTTAAGAGCATTGCCTGCTCTTCCAAAGGTCCTGAGTTCAATTCCCAGCAACCACATGGTGGCTCACAACCATCTGTAATGAGGTCTGGTGCCCTCTTCTGGCCTGCAGACAGACAGAATATTGTATACATAATAAATAAATATTAAAAAAAAAACCCATGCTAACTAGTTATTGCTCTCACTTTACAAAAATTTTGATGACGGGCTCTAAATGCCAAAATAAAAGGTGGTAGTTATGCAATGTCAATCTATGGCTAACTCTAGAGTCTCCCACCTCCAGGGCATAGCGACAGTTTCCCCAGATGCTGCCGGATAAGTCAGGAGTGGATACCGCAGCCATCTGGTCATTCCATCAGATAGCTAAGCTTCCTGAGATAAGGCTGGAAAGGTGGTCCCAGACTAGATGATGAAGCAACTTCTTTTTCAAGGATGGCAAACAAAATGGAATTTTCCTAAAGCGTGTGGACCTAACTGAGAAAAGATGAAGTGTATAGAAGCAGGAAAAAAAATCTTCATAGTGTGATCTTTTTCATACTCATTTGTCCCCTGGACTCTCTGAAGAGGGTTTCTGTGGCATTCTTCAACTGGAGAGGTGACCAGTGTCATGTAAAATGGAGGCAATTAAAGAACCTGTTGAAGCCTGTGTAGTGGTGCAAGCTTTTAATCCCAGCACTTGGCAGGTGGTCAGCCTGGTTTACATAGTGAGTTCTGGGACAGCCAGGGCTACATAGTGAGATCATGTCTCAGAAAAAATCAAAAACAAACAAAAAAGAGTCCGTTGAAGATTAGCTTCCTGTACTGGAAAAGAATCCAAAATGCCAACAGATAAAAAAAATTAGAATGAGAGAGAAGAGAGAGAGAGAGAGAGACAGAGAGAGAGACAGAGAGAGACAGAGAGAGAGAGAGAGCAAGCAATCCCAGATGCCACTGTAATGCCTTGCTGGGTCCAACTCTCTCTGGTACTACTTAGAGGCAGCTTTCGTGATGATAAAAATAACGCCGATAGCTGGGCGTGCTGGTGCACACTTGTAATCCAAGTACTCTGCAGATGCAAGAGAATCACAGTGAGTCTGAGACCAGCTGGGTCTAGGGAGTTTCAGGGCAGCCAGGCTTACATAGCTAGACCCTGCCTCAAAACACCAAACCAGATGAGACTAAACCAAATCCGATAAAACCAGAAAACAGAGACAGAACAATTTTATTGTGAACCTGCTGGAAAGTAAACAGAGCATTAAGCATTTTAAACATATGCTATTCTAGTCCCATAATCCTGTGGGGATAATATTATTTTATTATTTTACAACTAGATGTGGATACCAAACCTTAGCACAACTAACTTTCCTTGGTTAAGAGCAGGGGTGGCGCCGGGTGATGGTGGCACCTTTAATCCCACCCCCCCCTTTTTTTTTTTTTTTGTTTTTTTTTCGAGACAGCTCTTGTAGACCAGGCTGGCTTTGAACTCACAGAGATCCGCCTGCTTCTGCCTACCGAGTGATGGGATTAAAAGCATGCATCACCACTGCCCGGCAATCCCAGCACTTTAATCTCAGCATTTGGGAGGCAGAGGCAGGAGACTTTTTGTGAGTTCAAGGCCAGCCTGGTCTACAGAGTGAGTTCCAGGACAGGCCCCAAAGCTACGGAGAAACCCTATCTAAAAAAACTGGAGAGATGGCTCAGAGGTTAAGAGCACTGTCTGCTCTTCCAAAGGTCCTGAATTCAATTCCCAGCAACCACATGGTGGCTCACAACCATCTATAATGGGATCTGGCGCCCTCTCTGGCCTGCAGATACACATGCAAACAGAATACTGTATACATAATAAAATCTTTAAAAAAAAACAAAGTAAACAACAACAAAACAAAACAAACACGAGAGCAGGGGTGGAATCAGAACCACTCCCACTGCAGTTACAGCTCTAACAAGCACACTGCGCCACCTCACTCTAAGGCTGCCAGCCAGCCATGTCTTTGATGGTTGTGAAGGACTCAGAACTTTACTGCTTTTAGGCGATTCTCTTTTGCATGCTTACAGATACTATTTTGCACCTCAGTGCCCTTGACACTCCCGTGAGCAAGACCAGTGTGCTATTATTATCTTCACTTTATGGATGAGGAAAATGATGCTCGTTAAAGTCAAAGAACCTGCTCAAAGTCAAACCGCCAGTAGTCAGCGGCAGAGCCAAAGGTGGTTTTAAAGTGTTCTTTCTAGTGCATTGTAAAACTCACCTTATTTCTAGTTTTTGCTTGTTTCTTGTCTTTTCTCATTTTGGTTTTTCAAAACAGGGTTTCTTTGTGTAGCATTGGCTGTCCTGGAACTAGCTCTGTAGACCAGGCTGGCCTCGAATTCACAGAGATTTGCCTGCCTCTGCCTCTGCCTCCTGAGTTCTGGGATTAAAGGAATGTGCCATCATTACCCTTTTTTTTTTTCTTTCGTTTTTTTGTTTTTTTCGAGACAGGGTTTCTCTGTAGCTTTTGGAGCCTGTCCTGGAACTAGCCCTTGTAGACCAGGCTGGCCTCGAACTCCCAGAGATCCGCCTGCCTCTGCCTCCCGAGCGCTGGGATTAAAGGCGTGTGCCACCACCGCCCGGCTGTTTTTTGCTTTTTGAGAAGGGGTTTCATTTCACTATGTAGCCCTGGCTGGCCTGGCAATCACTATGTGAGACCAGGCTAGCTTTGAACTCACAGAAACCCTCCAGAGTGCTGGATTAAAGGTGTGAACCACTACCCGCTCTATTTAGGATTTTAACCCAGGGTCAAGACTCAGGTGATAGCACTTACGCACACGCAAGCCGAGCTCAGCCAGAGGGCGGTGCCAGGAACTTGTTCCCAGATGCCAACTTGCGGCTAGAGCGAAGGCTCTGTCTCCGGACCTTTGAACACTTTCAGGCGAATAAGAGAGAACGCTGGAGGAATCAGGAGATTATCTAGGAAACTACATCTCCCAGAAGCCTCCTGTCCGGGTTGCTCGATCGGGGATGTATTTCCGGTAAAGTAGGCTTCTGATAGTCTGCAAGCCTCAAGCGGCTGGGCCTGCTTCCGGTAGTCTTGGCGGAGGTGCTCAGATAGTGTGGCATCGGTGGTGGAGTTTGCTGAGCATTTTCTAGACCCCAGTAGGCATGGCGGCGGCATTTCGCAAGGCAGCTAAGTCTCGGCAGCGGGAACATCGAGAACGAAGCCAGGTAGGTCCGCGCAGGCCCCGTGGGCGACGGCTGGTGGCCCATGCCTCCCTGCTATCCCAGCGTCCCAGCTAGCACATCTGCCTTCCGTAAATACCCGACACACGGGGCCTGCCCCCAGCGTGCCTCGTCGGGGAGACCTGGGGACCGGGTTAGGGGGATTGTCACTCCCTAGGGTAGGAGGTTCCGTGGGTATTGAGTGAGGCGAGGCGTGTCAAAATCTGGAGTTGTGACCGAGGATAGGTGTTCCTAAAGTGGGTCCAACTTTTGGCTTGGGATTTGTGACTCCTGTAGAGCTGTCACGTGCCTCACCTTGAAGTCGTGGTACTTTCCTTCTCCCTTCTGGAGGGTGACTTGACCATTTCCAAACTGTGGGGGCCTGATAGCCCAGATCTGTAATTGCAGCTACTCGGGGGGCTCAAGAGAGAAGGATCACAAAGTCAGGGCCTGCCTGAGCAACTTAGACCTCTCTCAAAATAAAACTCTAAAAACATTCTGGACGTACAGCGCGGTGGTGAACTGCGCGCCTAGCAAGATTTAGTCCTCGGTAGGAAGAAAGAAAGGAGGGAGGTAGTCCCTTAGGAGATGTTAGTTAGAATAAGTAATTGTGGCCTTTCTAAGGAGAACGTGTCGGTGTGGGGATATGTGCTAGAAATAAAGATGTATCCAGACCCACATCATCCCCTTTACTGTTCTCAGAAATCACAGAACTACTTCCAGCCTTTAACGGCTGGAGAGGGGGCTTAGCCATTAAGAACACTTGACTGCTGTATCAGAGTTCAAATCCCAGCACCCACATCGTGGACTCACAAGTACCTAAACCTCCAGCTCCAGAAAATTCTTCACTCCCTTCTGGCTTGCACAGGCTCTGCTCTCACTGGGTCATACACATAGACATACACAATTATGCATCTTTTTTTTTTAACTATTATTTATTTGTTTATTTTTGGTGTTTCGAGGCAGGGTTTCTCTGTAACACTGACTGTCCTGGGACTCACTCTCTGGACCAGGCTGGCCTTGAACTCACAGAGATCCACCTGCCTCTGCTGAATGCTGGGATTAAAGGCGTGTGCCAACCACTGCCAGCTTTTATTTTTAATTTTATTTTTAGATTTATTTTATTTATTATCTATGCAGTGCTCTGTCTGCATGCTTTCCTGCAGTCAGAAGAGGGCACTGGATTTCATTACAGATGGTTGGGAGTCAGTATGTGGTTGCTGGGAATTGAACTCAGGACCTCTGGAGGAACAGTCAATGCTTTTAACCTCTGAGCCATTTCTCCAACCCCTATTTTTTATTTTTAATCAAAAAGTTAGCTTATGTGTGTACATGTGTGTCTGGATGGGTGTGTGCACTTGACTATATATGCCTGTGGGAGCTCTCCCTGGAGCTGGGGTTGCAGGTAGTTGTAACATGCTTGATGTGGGTGTTGGGAGATGAACTTGGATCTTCTGGAAGAGAATAATGTGTTTTTAACTGTTAAACTATCTCTTTAGCCCTCAAATAAATAATAAATATTTCTTCTCCTCCTCCTCCTTTTTCTTTTTTGGTAAGAGGATCAAGAATTTAGGATAATCCACCAAGTTTTAGGACACTCTGGGCTACATGAGACAGTATCTCAACAAAACAAAATGGCTCAGTACTAGCTGCACAAGCCACGTGACCTGAGTAAGCTCCTCAGAGCTCATAGAAAAGTGGAGGAAAGAGTGGACTGTTCTCAACTCTTTATTTTGAGAATATAACTTAATCACAGCATTTCCCCTTCCCTTTCTGCCCTCCAAACCGTCCCATATACTAAGGCTCGCTCTTTTAACTTCTTGGCCTCTCTTTGGAGAATGGACTCTTAAGGAGTGGCATGTATACCTGCATACACAGATATGTATACACACAAAATTAGACCGCAGTAACAACAAACAGAACCCCCATATAAACAACCCACAAGGCCTTTGGAGATACCAGTGGTACAAAGGCTGAAGAAAGGGAAGGGATATTATTACCACTGAAACCGTGCGACTGACTGATGCTGTTGAATATCGGCCCCTCTCTCTGGCTCTCTTTCTAATAGTTTAAAAGTCCATTTGTAGTTTTTCTTGGCCAAAAGGATGAGAAGGGATAGTTCTGAGTCTTTTTTTCCAAGACAGGGTTTCTCTGTGTAGCTTGCCTGTCCTGGAACTCACTCTGTAGACTCATAGAGATCCACCTGCCTTTGCCTCCCTGGTGCTGGGATTAAAAGTGTGCGCCACCACTGCCCGGTGTTCTGAGTCTTCTTAAGCACACATTCTTTCTGCTTAATAGCATTTATTTTGGGGTATGCCTAGTGGAAGCAGTACCATACATGTATTGAAAAGTTTATCTTACATGTATTTTATTGAACTGTGTGTGTTGGGGCCACAGCTTTGGGACGGTCAGAGGACAACTTGTGGGAGTTGCCCCATGTTTAAACTGACATGATGCAGATGCCTTTACCCGCGGGTAGTGTATTTTAACATCTTGTTTGCGAGACTCTAGACAGACTTATCGAAAACTGGTAGTGGCCCGAACTTGGTGAAGTGTAAACACATGACTCTCAGCCTTTCCACTCAGAGCAGCTGTTGGGAAGCGGGTTACTATTTCCTCATATTTCCTTGAGGATTTGAGGCTCAGATGGGTCAAGTATTTACCCAGAGAGGGACAGCTAGAGCTGTCATATGGCAAAGGTGGAAATCACATCAGGTGTTTAAGAATACAGAGGTGGAGCTGGGGAAGAGGGGTCGTCCTTTAAGAGCACTGGCTGCTCTTCTAAAGGACCGGGGTTCAATTTCTAGCATCCACATGGCAGCTTACAACTATCTGTAACTCCAGTTCCAGGGGATCTGACACCCTCATAGAGACATACATGCCGACAACACACCAGTGCACATAAAAATAAATCTTGGGAAAAAAAAGAAATAAAACTAAAGAAATATATAGAGGCAACTTTATAAGAGGTGGCACATTAAAAATACCAGATGTGGGCCGGGAGGGCTGACGCAGTGGTTAAGGGAACTTGTTGCTGTTTGAGAGGACTCAGGTTCAGGTCCTAGCACCGATATGTCAGCTCACATCCATCTGTAACTCCAGTTCTAGTGGTTTGAGGCTCTCTTTTGGCCTCCTTGGGCACCAGGCACAGTAGTGGTGCACAACATATATGAAAGTAAAACAGTCATACACAGCTGGTCAGTGATGGCATGTGCCTTTAATCCCAGAACTTGCGAGGCAGAGACAGGCGGATCTCTGTGGGTTCGAGGCCAGCCTGGTCTACAGAGTGAGTTCTAGGACAGGCTTCAAAGCTACACAGAGAAACCCTGTCTTGAAAAACAACAACAACAAAATTTAAAATGCCAAGTATGCAACATATGTGGAAATGGTAGAGATATAGAACATTGTGTTGGAATGTTTTGAACTCATAGGTCAGTTTGTTTTTGAAGGCAAAGCTACTGAATGTGTGTGATTTTTTTTTTTTGAGATAAGAGCTCCCTATTTAGCCTAGACTTACCTTAAATTCAATTTGTGATCCTTCTGCTTTAGCCTTGTTGATGTTGGGATTACAGTACATCCTGCCTAAAATGGTCATTTTGAGCATCCTAGGAATAACTGTGCATGCTGTAAAAGGAGTATCTCCTAATCCCTCAGTGTCCTCAGGAGCTAGATGCTCTTTTCGTCTTACAAATTAAGAGCCTGATGCTTAAAGAGATTAAATTTCACATCTAAAGTCACACTCAAATAGTTGACTTGGATTAATATAGAAGAAAGGGATTTCAAGGCGATGCCCGAATCACTTGTGATTTGGGTTCCTTGTGTTTTCCTTTGTCCTGGCCCTGTGTGATGTGGTGGAAGCTCTCGATGATTCATGTGGAGGAGGAAATGTGTAACTGCTCCACATGTAGTCTGTTTCCTCTGGAACACACGTATACCTTCACACATGATTCCAAGACCGCTACCTCATTGCTGCTCCCTGCCAGTCTCCCTTTGCAGTGTTAGAAATAAAAGCTATCATGGGTGCTGGAAGATGACTCAGCGGTTAAGAACACTTACTGCTCTTGCAGAGGACCCAGGTTTGGTTTCCAGCACTCACATGGTAGCTTACAGCCATCTATAACTTCAGTTTCAGGGGACTTGATGCTTTTATCTGACTTCTGAGGGCACCAGGCATGCATGTGGTGCACATATGTATGTGCAGGCAAAACACCCTTACACATAAAACAAATGTAACTGAGTCGCTGACAGTTGTGAGCTGCCATGTGGGTGCTGGTAATTGAGCCTAGGTCCTTTGGAAGAACAGCCAGTGCCCTTAGCCACTGAGCCATCTCTCCAGGCCCATTTTTGACTAAGTATCTCTCTTCCTTTTTCTGTTCAGACAGGGTTTCTCTGTGTAGCTCTGTCTTGTAACTGGCTCTATAGACCACGGTGGCTTCAAATGCAGAGAACCGCCTGCCTCTGCCTCCCAAACGCGGGATTAAAGATGTGTGCCACCACTGCACATAACAATAATTACAAAAATAATTAGGAAATTCTGTTTTGAGACAGTGTTTCACAGCCTTGGCTGGCCTAGAACTCTGTGTAGTCCAGGCTGGCCTTGAACTCGCAGAGACCCTGCTGCTCCTTGTCTGCTGAGGGCCCGGAGGGCTTGTGCCACCACACAGGTTAATTTTTTTTTTTTAATTACAGTTACTAATGGTTTGTATGGGTATGGGTGTATGAGTGTTGGGCAGTCATGCTGGGTAGTCGTTATGGAGGTAAGAGGTCAGTTCTCTCCTTCCATGTGTGGGCCCTCAGGGATCAAACTTAGGTGAGGTGGCAGACATCTCCCTTCTGACCCGTCTTGCCATCCCTGTTACTTTCCTCATTGGGTTATTTTGTCCCTTGAAAGATTAAGAGATAACAAAGGTGGCTGTAAGAATACCATCCACGTTATTATCCCAGGCTCAGCAGAGACTTATATATGCAGCCCAGAAGTCAAGGTTGTTCAGAGGACTGGGATAGCGGTGCAAATCTATTATCCTGACCCTCGACAGGCTGAGGCCAGGAGACTCACAAGCCCTGCCTGAAGTAACATAGTGGGTTCCAGGCCAACCTGGGCTATGGAATGGGACCCTATCTCAAAAAAGGCAGGTGTGGGGTGGGGGTGGAGTCGAGCATAAAGCTGGATATGGGGGGAACATCCTCATCATCATAGCTTTTGGGAGGCTGAGGCAGGAGGCCATGAGTTTGAAGTCAACCAGAGCTGTATGATAACCCGCTTCCAAACCCAAAGCCAAACAAACATTCTTCAGAGCAGAAAGAGTATAGTGGGCTCTGAGATAGCATAGACTGGCTGCAGAAGGTAGGGGCTCTGCATTCCTAGAGAGTAAATAGCTCCTGTATATGTAGCTAGGGATGACCTTGGACTTCTGATCAGCCTGCCTACTTTCTTTGTACAAGGATTATAGTTGTGTGCCATAATGCCAGGTTTATGTGGCTCTGTAGATTGAACCTAGGGATTTTTGTGTGCTAGGCAAACAATCCATCAGCTGAGGTACATCCCTAGCCTTGGTTCTACATTCTTGAATGCATTCTCTAAATGTCATTCCCCTTCTGGAATATGCTTTACTTTTTTTGTAATGGTCATAAAGATGAAATAGGACTATGTAACAAGCATAGCACATTGCTTTGGGACAGAGTCAGTACATAATTGTGAACTGTTAAGATGATGTAGGTAGAGTTCGGGGGTGTAACTCAGTAGGTAGAGGTTCTGGATTTTGATCCTCAGCACCTAATAAAAGCCTGGCATGGTGGCATAGGCTTCTAATTCCAGCACTCTGCAGGTGGAGGCAGGAGGATCAGAAGTTAAGTAGGCCAAAGAATTAAGCTCTCCTCCATAGCAAAAAGTGAAAAAAACATCTAACACAGACACACATAACTTACACAGGATCTCCCGTAGCTTAGACTGGCCTTGAACTCCTGGTCCCTTTTTTCCCGTTTTTCAAGTTCTGGTATTATAAACATGTACCAATTTAACCTGACATTAAGCACTCAGAGTAATGGTAGAAGGCTATAAAGAAGACAGAGTCACGCCAGGTGGTGGTGGTGCAAACCTTTAATCCCAGCACTTGGGAGGCAGAGGCAGGCTGATCTCTGTGAGTTCGAGGACAGCCTGGTCTACAAGAGCTAGTTCTAGGACAGGCTCCAAAGCTACAGAGAAACCCTGTCTCGAGCCCCCCATCCCCGCAAAAAAGACAGAGTCATGGAACCCTGCACGTTGTAGAAGTGAATGTCAGAGAGAGTACTTTCCCATTTTATTTGGTTTTGCCTCTGCTGCTCTCTGTTTTGTTTTGTTTCTGGTCTTCCTATGTAGCCTTTGCAATCCTCCTGCCTCAGGCTTCCAAGTGTCAGAATTGCAGGCAAGTACCATTTACCCAGCCTTACTGGTCCTATTTTATAGTTAGGAAATGACAGCTCAGAGAAGTTAAGTGATTTATTTGCCCAAGGTCAGAGATTGTTACGAGGTAAAGCTTGGATTGAACCTGAGTCCGAAAACTCTAAATTTAGCGCCCTTAAGCACAGTTGCCTCCTGTTGCTGTGTTTTCCCTTCATAGTATTTTATAAGCCCTTGGATTAACCTGGTAGTAATTTTAGTACAGCTGGCAACTGCTTGCTTAGTGCCGAGTCATTGTTGCCTCTCTCTGTCCTTAATAGGCCAAGAAACCTACTATGGCGGTGCTTGTGACCTGTCTGGCTCCTGGACGAGCCGTCTCATCCCTGGGCAGGGCCTAGTAAGGGGGAGGAGGGAGGAACAGGGTAGTGGGCTGGCTCCAAGGACACATTTACTGAGTACTACAGAGTCCTGTTCCTGTCAGGTGTCATGTTGCTTTCAGCTTGTGTTTGCCAAGAGAACTAAGTGCGTCCTTTTCCTTTTGTCTTCTAGCCTGGCTTTCGAAAACGTCTGGGTTTGCTGGAGAAGAAGAAAGATTACAAACTTCGTGCAAAGTGAGTCCAGTATTTCTGGTAGAGGTGCTGCCAAAAAATCTTACAGCATTGGCATACTACTGCTGAAGTGTCCATGTATCCACCGGGGAAGTAATTTCCTGTTGTCGATAAAATAGCCAAAGCTCTGGCAGCCTGTTAGGTATTTTCCTGTGACCCCCTCCCCCCAACCTCTCTTTGCTCAGACAGAGTGGTACTTAAGCAGTTGCCCCCGTCATTTTTTTTTCATTAGGCCTGTCCAGGTGGTTTTCTCATAGTGGCATTGCTTTGCCTCCACCTCGGTGTTTGAACTAAATGCTGAATCTTTTGCTCCCTTTTCTTGAAATGAAAGATACAGTCTAAAAATTCCACTTGCTGAGTCTCTTACATCATTATTTGTGGTGTGGAATGAGATGTGAAAGACGGATTCATGAGCCTGAGAGTGGGTGATGATGAACTATGAAAACATTTTATAAAACAATTATGTCCATTCTTTTCTTTAGCACTTCATTTGCAAAATGCTTATAATTGCTTATTAGCATACAAATCAGCTGAGGTTCTTATACTCCTGGTGTGGTGGGTGGGGATGATTAAATGGATTTCTCTAGGTCCCAGATTTTAATTAATTAATTAATTAATTAATTTTAAATATAATTTTTTATTGAAAAAAAAAGATTTCCGCCTCCTCCCCGCCTCCCATTTCCCTCCCCATCTCCCTTCCCCCCCTCCTCCCTCTCCTCAATTAATTTATTTTTTAAAGTTTATTTATTTATTATTTACACAGTGTTCAGCCTCCATGCCTGCAGGCCAGAAGAGGGCGCCAGATCTCATTACAGATGGTTGTGAGCCACCATGTGGTTGCTGGGAATTGAACTCAAGACCTCTGGAAGAGCAGTCAGTGCTCTTAACCTCTGAGCCATCTCTCCAGCCCTCCATATTTTAGTTATTTAAAAATTTATTTATTTTGTTTTATATTTTGGAGATAAGGTCTCACTATATATCCCTGGCTGGCCTGAAACTCATTTTGTAGACCAGGCTGACCTCAAATTTACAGAGATTCCCCCTCTGCCTCCTGATATGTGCCTGTGAAGGCCAGAAGAGGGCATCAGATCATCTTGGAACTGGAGTTAGAGACACTTGTTAGCTGCCATGTCTGTTCTGGGAATTGGACCTGGGACCTCTGGAAAAGCAGTCAGTTTTCCTTCCTTCTTTCCTTCCACCCCCCCCCCCCTTTTTTTTGTGACAATCTCCTCGTGTAGTCTAGGCTGGCCTCAAGCTCAAGGTCTCCTACTTCACCCTCTCGAGTGCTGGGATTATAGCTGTACATGTCGTGCCTGACTGGGGCCAGAGCTGCTTGTTGTTGTTGTTTTGAGGTGGGGTCTTTCTATGTAGCCATGACTGTCCTGGAATTTACTATGTAGACCAGGATGCCTGGAACACAGAGATCTGCCTGCCTCTGCCAGTGCTGGGATTAAAGGCGTGCGCCACCACCGCCCGGCTTGGTGTCCTTTTGTAGTGGTTTAGGTGGCATTAAGATGTGGGGAGGAAACAGTTACTTTCAGGTGTGATTGGGACAGAGGACGCTTAAGATTGTGGGTCTTACAGGGAGCCTGACTCGTGTCAGTGGACCATGGAGCAATCTGGTCACTGCTTGCTTGCTTGCTTCCTTCCTTCCCTCCTTTTTTTTAGTGTTCTGCTGGCATGTATGCCTGCAAGCCAGAAGAGGGCGCCAGATCTCTTTACAGGTGGTTGTGAGCCACCATGTGGTTGCTGGGAATTGAACTCAGGACCTTTGGAAGAGCAGGTAATGCTCTTAACCACTGAGCCATCTCTCCAGCCCTGCTTGGGTTTCTTTAATATATTTTTTTGTGTGTGTGATTTTCATTGGTTTGTTTGCTTTGAGGGAGTTTGTTTAAGACAAGCTCTCACTTTAAGTCAAACTGATTTCAAATTTGTGATTCTTCTGCTTCAGCCTCCTAAGTGTTGATGTATCAGATGTGCCTCTAGTTATGAATTTTTTAAATTTATTTACTTTTATTTCATTTTTAAAAAATTATTTACTTTTATTTCATTTGTATTTTGCCTGCATGTAGGCCTGTGTGAGGTTGTCAGATCTTGGCATTGGAGACAGTTGCTAGCTGCCATGAGGGTGCTGAGAACTGACCCTGGGTCCTCTGGAAGAGCAGTCAGTGCTCTTAGCCGCTGAGTCATCTGTGTGGATAGTTTTTTTTCTGCAGTGAAATCTCCTGACTTGTTTTTTCAGTGACTATCATAAAAAGCAAGATTTCCTCAGAGCTCTCCGGAAGAAGGCTCTGGAAAAGAATCCAGATGAATTCTACTATAAAATGACTCGGGATAAGCTCCAGGTAGGTGCAGAACAGAGCCCTAAGTGTTGGGAAATGATGGGGAATGAGGCAGCACGAGCAAGTGTCCTTGTGACTCTTCTCCACTTGGACCAGGTGTTCCTGGTGAGAGGTCCAGGTCAGACTGTCCTTTTCTTGGTCAGCATGCTCCTACCTTTGCACCATCTTGGTTTTTTTTCCCCTCTATTTGTTTTGATTTTGTTATTATAAATAAAGCCCAGTACCTCTGTATGCTAGACAAAGTGCTGTACCCCTGAGGTACACCCAGCCTCTTGTTTGAAGGGTAAATGAATGGAGGCATGTCTTAGTGTGCATGCTTGTCTTTGCTTTATACATGGATTATGCAAGCAGCTTACTAATGATAGTACTCTGTTATACACTGTATCTGTTAAACTTCAATTTTAGGACGGAGTTCATGTCATCAAGAAGACCAAGGAAGAAGTGACACCGGAGCAGCTAAAGTTGATGAGAACTCAGGACATCAAATATATAGAGATGAAAAGGGTTGCAGAAGCCAAGGTGACCTTCACGTTTTTGTTCTGATGGATTTTTGTTGGTTAATTAAGAAAGGACATAGCAGATTGTGGTTGTGTATACCTCTAGTCCCAGCACCTGGGAGGTAGCAGCTCTAAGAATTAAGGCCCAGGGCTAAAGAGATGGCTCAGAAGTTAAGAGCACTGGCTGTTCTTCTAGAACAATTCCCAGCACCCACATGGTGGCTCACAAAAACCATCTGTAATGAGATCTGGTGCCCTCTTCTGGCCTGCAGTGGCACATTCAGGCAGAACATTGTATACATACTAAATAAATAAATCTTTAAAAAAAATTGAGGCCCTGGTTTAAACAACAACAAAGGAAACAATTGGGTAATGTCAAGTTATCAGCCGGTAGTCTACAGTGAGTTTGGTGTGATGATTTAGAAGTATAATCAGCATGGTGGAATAGAGTTCAGGTTTGAGAATGAGAGATGTAGGCTAAAGTCTGGCTCTGCCAGTTTCTAACCCCATGGTTATGGACCAGTTAGCTTGAGAATGCTTATTTCTGTCATATGTTTTAAATATTGAATTTTGTGGAGTGTCTTGTATAGTGCTTGATAGATAAATTTAAGTGCTTTCATTTAAAAGACTAAAACCTGCCTTGCAGTGGTGGCACACACCTTTAATCCCAGCACTCGGGAGGCAGAGGCAAGTGGATCTCTTGAGTTCGAGGCCAGCCTGGTCTACAGAGTGCATTCCAAGACAGCCAGGGGGACACAGAGAAACTCTGTCTTAGAAAAAAAAAAAAAAGAATGAAACCATTGAGAACAAAGTACAAAGTATAATTATAGACATATGTGATGATGCCACAGTGAAAGCCAGTACCTAAAAATATCAAAAAGAATGAAATGAATTCTTTGCTGCTTGACAGTGGTGATGGGAAGTGTCTCAGTTCTTGAAAGTTTATTTCTGAGACTCCGGAAGAACCCACTTTAACCATATTCCTTACTCTAGAAAATCGAAAGACTGAAATCAGAGCTCCACCTGCTGGATTTCCAGGGGAAGCAGCAGAACAAGCACGTGTTCTTTTTTGACACCAAAAAGGAAGGTATGAAATGTTGAAGGTGTCTGGGGTAGTCTGCCATGTCACTGTGTTGTATGGTGCTAGCGACAACCTGTGCCTTAAAGATTGCCTTGAATTTCAGTTGAACGGTTTGATATTGCAACTCACTTGCAAACGGCCCCAGAACTGGTAGACAGGGTCTTCAATAGACCCAGGATAGAGACCTTGCAAAAGGAGAAAGTGAAAGGCCTCACCCCTCAGACTCAGCTCAAGGTATGTATCTCTTTTGCACTCAGGTGGGAGTTGGGGAGTTTGTTTTTTTTTTTTTTTTTTTGTGGTTCTTTTTTTTTTTCTTTTGCCACTGTATTTTTTATAATTATCCATGGGGAAACTTCAAAAACTGTCTAGATAAAGTAGAAAGATTATTTGGTGATGGGATGGAAGTGGATTTTTTTTGTTTGTTCTGGAGGTCCTGTTCCATAGTGGTCAGGAGCTTAGATTTTGGGTTTGAATCCCAACTCTGATCTGGTCCTTTGTGTTTTTAACATGTGCATCCTTCGCTGATGCTTAGAAAGTGCGGAGCCAGGAGGAAACACTGAGGAGTAGGATGTGGCGGGTAGTGTTTTCATATTACTCGTTTGTAACCAAGATTTTGTATTGACTTTTCCTTATGGTGCTTTCTATCACATGACTGGGTTGTGGCGATGACAGGCTTTTTCTCAGAGCCTTCTGGAGTTGAACTCTCACTTCTGACTGATTCATTTAAAAAAATGCTGTCAGTGTGTTTCAAGCAGACAGCTGTTCTGTTTTGATTTGAATCATTTACACCGCATCAGTTTTGCTTCCAATGTTTAATTTCACAGCAGTTTCCTCTAGCTCAGAGCAGCTAAACTTGCTTTAGTAATATAAATACCCCTAATTAGTTTGACTATATTGGGTAATCCCATAAATTTGACAGTCTGTGCAATAAAGTGAAAACAAAAGCTGTCTGAAACCACTGCTGTGAGACTCTGCTCGAGCTGGCGAGTTGTTGGTCTGAGGCCCAGCGCTAGGCCCTTTTACGTTCACAACACTGCCAGCCGAGAAGCTGGCTGAGGGGTTCTTGTGATGACCTTGTTTGTTGGTTAGTTGTGTTTTCAGTCAGCCGGTCACTGACACTTCTTGGGTAGTAGTATTGTATTGTAGCCCTCTCCGAGGGCAGTGTCAGACCCTAAAGGAAGGTCTGCCATCAGAGCGGCCACAAACACAGGAGGGCTCGGGACTGCCGTTTTTGCCCAGCGTTGTTTCACTTGATTGCTTGTTTAAAGCATAATTATTTTTTATCAAGAGGCTGCTTGCTGCCTGTGAGTATATTGCAAGTCTGCAACTTGGAAGTGATAAACAAAATCTGTGAATGGCTTGAAGTCTGTGAACATCCATCCCCCACACAGAAATTGTGTAATATATGTATGTACAGGTTTCTGCATATATGTACATACAGGTAGTTCAAAACAGTAAAATATGAAATCCTTTAAAATTTTTGCAAAGTTCTGAGTGCTGATATGATACTACAAATGGGAAATTGCACACCTGATTTTATATGATAGGCCACAGTCAATTCAAGCATGCTAAAAATACTGTGTAAAATTATCTTCAGGCTGTGTATATAAGGAATATATGAAAAATAATGAATCACTTATTTAGACTTGGGTTTCATCCCTAAACTATCTCATGTACATGCAAATATTCCAAACACCCCAAAATATGAAATCCAAACACTCTGTTCCAAGCATTAGAGATGAGTGAGACTCAGTCTGTGTGCTATCTCAAAGAAGAAGCCAAAGTTGTTAGTTTCTCAGATGCTTCAAGTCTCAGAAATGTAAGGACTGCAGTAGTCCTGAGGAGTCATTAGCCGGTGAGTTGTCTTCTCGGGTCTCAGTGCTGAAAATTCTCCTCTGCTCTGTGAGACAGATGGAGAGGCTCCAGCCCCAGCACACGGCCCATCACTGGCCCTTCTGTTGCTCTGTTCACTTCTGCAGGCTTCCAGTCCTGGGCGGCTGCTGCCCTCAGCTCAGGTAACTGAGACCACTTAGTGGACCTCTGGGAACATTCTTGGAGGTGGGGGCTCCTCAGGACAGTCCTGACTACCCGTTAGGCAAACCATCCTTGGGCCAGTTACTTTTTTCCTCTGGGTCTCCTTCTGCATTTGCTAAGTGACAGGTTTTGATAGGGCAGTTTCCACACATACTTTCACTCGTAGTGTGTACTGGCTTTAAAGTAGGCATCTTAATGGTGGGCATTTTGAGTTGAGTCTGGAATAGAAAGAGGACTGGTGAAACCACTGATGTAGTTGGACTCAAGAACTCCTTCGTCTTGTTAATTGTTTTATTTAAATGTATGTTTATTCTGTAGAGGATAGCTAAAGAAAGACAAAGGCAGTATGATTGCTTGACGCAGCGAATTGACCGGGAGAAGAAGCTGTTCGTGGTTGCACAGAAAATTCAAACTCGCAAAGATCTTATGGTGAGGAGAGATAGCCTTGAGCCTTCTCCTTCTTTCCTTTCCTTTCCTTTCCTTTCCTTTCCTTTCCTTTCCTTTCCTTTCCTTTCCTTTCCTTTCCTTTCCTTTCCTTTCCTTTCCTTTCCTTCCCTTTCCCTTTTTCTTTCTTTCTTTCTTTCTTTCTTTCTTTCTTTCTTTCTTTCTTTCTTTCTTTCTTTCTTTCTTATAAAGGTATTAACTGAGACTGGATCTCGGCAGTGTGTAAATCAACAACAGTGAAATGTCTGCTCCTTTGGGGCAGTGGTCTGAGCCAGTGTCTATTGCTCTGACGCTGTAGAAAGGTTCCTTGATTAAGAAGGTAATAAGAGTTGTTAGTCAGTGCCCTGAGCAGCAGAGGGTGGGATCAGGTAGCGTGTGGACTCTACAGCTTATGAGCAGCTCCCGTAACATTTAAACAGGTTAACAAACAGTGCATGCCACTCACGGGTGTTTAAAAATAGACAGCATTGTGCAGTGAAGTAGCAGAGCCAAGGAATTTAAGAAGCTCTTTCGTATTCTCATTCCTCTAAATGTCAGATTCTTCAGCCTTGCAGATCATTTAGGTTGGCCTTTCTCAGCTAGGGTTCTGAGAGAGAATTAAATTTATAATTTAAACAAAATAATTACTTGAGCTGCTCTCGCCTCAGTTTTCCCAAAGACTGTCGACAACTGGTGCATTCTGTGTGCTCCAGGAGTTAAGTGGCTCCTGCAGCGGGTGGCCCCGGCTCTTCTGAACTTGGAGGAGAGCTCCGTGGGACTTGCCCTTAGCTAGCCTACTGACTGTGCTGCTTCAGGAGACCCTGTTTATGTTTACTGGTCACCTTTTACCCTTACAGGATAAAAATAAGAAGGTGAAGGTGAAGAAAGAAACAGTGAACTCCCCGGCTATTTACAGATTCCAGACTCGCCGAAAACGTTGATACGTTAAAAATAAGTCTCATCATTCTGCATTGAAAAGAACCTTTTTCTCCTTTTGCAATAATTTCAGATCTCATTAGTTCAGATGCCTTGATTTTCTTTTTTGTAATCATGACTTATTGTTAACCTGTTATTTGATATCTGTGAGAACATTAAAGCCCCTTCCCCAATATCATTGTTTCTGTATTATTATTATTTGATTTTTCGAGACAGGGTTTCTCTGTGTAGCTTTGGACTGTTGTGGAACTCACTCTGTAAACCAGGCTGGCCTTGAACTCACAGAGATCCTTCTGCTTCTGCTTCCCAAGTGCTGGGGTTAAAGGTGTATGCCACCACTGCCCAGCTTTGTTTCTATATTATGAATTCATTCTCTTACATATAGTACTTATTTTTCCTTATAAAAGTTACTTAACTTTATATAGCAAAGTAGAAGATAGATGAATACACCTCTGATCTCAGTATTTAAGAACAGTTATTCCATAGTAGGAGCTTGGGCTGCTACTGTGGGCATTCTGGTGTATGTCCCCCATTGGGAGAGTTATATATCAATTTTTGTTTATCATTCTAGCAAATTTTACATTCTAATTTTAATTAAATCATTGCTCTGTTCAATTTTGTTATGTTACAGAATTTTTCAAAAGTAATATAAGACCAAAGTAAAAAGTAAAGTCGTCGTTTCTTTTTTTTTTTTCTGAAGAGTCATTGTTTCTGTGTGTGTTTGTGTTTGGGTGGATACAGTATGTGGTGGTGCATGTGGAGGCCATGGGACAACACCTGGCCTTACAGTTGGTTCACCCTGTTTTGACAGTGTCTCATTTGCCTGGAGCTCGTTGATTAGACTAGGCTGCCCGGGAACCTCGGATCCACCTGTCTTTGTCTGCTTTTGCTGGGATTTCAGGGGAGGAGCACCACACCTGTTGGGGACAGCTTGCTGGATTTAGTTCTCTGCTCCTACAGTGTTGTCCCAGAAATCTAACTTTGTTATCAGGTTTGGTGGCCAGAGCTTTTACCTATTGGGCCGTTGTATCAGCTCCTTCACGGGGCTTTTAAAATGTTGGATCTAGGGCTGGGCCTTTAATACCAGTACTTGGGGGGCAGAGTCAATTTGGATCTCTGATCTAGAGTTCCAGGGCAACCAGGGCTACAGAGTCAGAAAAACAAACAACAACAATATGGGTTCTGGAAACCAAACCCGCAAGGGAACCAGAATTTCTTTTGTTTTTTGAGATGGGATCTCATGGATTCCTGACTGACCTAAAATTAGCTGTGTAGCCAAGGATGACCTTGAACTTGTGACCTTTCTGCCTTTTTTTTTCTTTTTTAACCCTAGGACTGGAATTACAGACATGCCAAAGCAGCTGACTAAAGTAATGGTTTTAAGGATTAAATGTGTACAGCAGAAAGAGGGATCTTCATTATTATTTGGGTGGCTTTATAAGTTGTCCAAGAGTCCATTTCTCCCTACTTACGTGTGGAGACAGCCATCCTTGGAACTGGCTCAGAAAGCTCACATTAGAACTTACTGGGACTGGCTCTGCTCCTGCCCTCTGCTCCTGGCCAATTGCTGATTCCAAGGCTATAAAATGACTTCACCTGAGAATACCGACCCCAGGCTATTTGGAGCTGTTTTCTTCTCTCCCTTGGGTCCCACCCTTTGCTTCCTTGCCCTTATATAGGGATGGTAGGCCATGGCCAGTCAGAACAGGACTGAGCATGCTTACAGCTGTGGGAGAACTGGAAACGGGGTTCTGGGAGTCTTGTCCGCACTCTTCTTCCTGGAGAGGAATAGCCGCATAGGTCTGATAGATTTTCCTTTTGAAAATGTGTTTACAAGGGTTCTGCCTTTATGTCTGCACCCCGTGTGTGTCTGGTGCCTGCAGAGACCAGAAGAGGGTGTTGGGTCCCCTGAAACAAATTATACCTGATTGTGAGCACCATGTGGGTGTTGGGAATTGAATCCAGATCCTCTGGAAGAATAGCCAGTGCTATTAACCTCTGAGCCGTCTCTCCAGGCCCAGATACACACACACACACGCGCGCGCGCGCACACACACACACATAAGTGACATGGCTACTGGGTTCCTGTATAAAGCCTAGAATGGAAGCCTGTTTCTCAGAATATACATACTGTGGGATTCAGATCTGGGAACCCTGAAAATAAGGTCCCAGAGAACAAAAGCTAGCTTTTGTCTTTAGGGAGGAAGCTTTTTCAGGCTGAACTCAATTTTGTAAGGAGGTGCTGAGCTCAGTACCAGTGGTCTGAGTCTCGGGTCCCATCAACAGATGTAGAGATGATGTAAGTAACACTGTTGGGAAACCCTGGCTGGAGCAAGGCATGGGTAGTGTTTTCAGACGGTTCCTGAAAGGAATCTGACAGACCAAGTAATGGTCTGTTCCGGGGTAAGCCACCAGGCACCGGCTCCGTTCTTGCCATTCCTGGGTAGGAGAGTGGGGGAGGATTGAGAGTGTACCTGCCCACCGTCTCATAAAGTGAACACCCACACAAAAGCACACGGTGCTGCATGGGCTCTCTTGTTAACCGAGGCATGAGGCAGAAATAACTTGGGCCCCATAAACAGGTACAGACACATCCATGCACCCACCTTCTGGGTGCACACACATAACACACCAGTGGAGGTGCTTGAAGGGGCTCGTGCTCAGTCCAAAGGGGCTGCAAAGTCCAATTGAGTAATCAAAGCCAGAGGAACAAGACTAGGTATCCTTGCTGCTGCACCATTGTTGGCTGTCTCCCGGACCCCGGGATTCTCTTCAAGAGCAATAAACTCTTAACTGTTGAGCCACCTCTCTAGCCCCTTGTTTTCATTTTTTGACATGATCTCATGCTAGCCTGAACTGCTGTCCAACTTACTACTGCAAGTGTCAGAATTATAGTTATGAACCATGGTTTCTGGAGGGCCCAAGAATTCTGGGGAGAGAGAAGTGGTCCCTTGTCATTAACTCATCACGGCTCCAGTCTCATGCATTTTGAGACCAGGCCATAGCTCTACGGCAGAGAAGGCTCTCAGTGCAACCACAAACAGACTTGCTCGGAAAGGGAGAGGGTTTGTTTTCTTTGTAGCCGCCTTCTTAGGCTCAGGATGGTTTGGCTTGTTGGCATGGTATACCACGCTGGCTCTGCCACGAGGCTGTGGGCAGCCTGTGGAAGTGGAGAACTTGCCTGTGACTCAGTGTTCTTGTTTGGTTCATGTCTTGGCATAAGTCAAGACTTCAAAGCAGCAGCCGTCTGAACCCTGTGGAACCCGTGGATCTGTCCAAGGGACAGTCCCCGAGCCAGCTCCGTTTATTTACAGCCACGTCTTATGGTCCTTTCGAATAAATGGGCAGCGCCTCAAGGCCTTGTTTTATCTTTGAGTAGAAGAATCTAATTCTGATTTTCCGACCACGGAAGGAACTGTAGGGTGGAAGAGAGCCCAGCAGGTGGCGCTGCTGCCTCTCTCTGGGCTGCTCAGCAGCGAGCCTATGTCTCCCACGGAAGTAGCTTCTGCCAGAACCTCCTTGTCCCCCAGAGATGCTGAGTATGGGTTTGTTTATTGAATTTAATGCCACCGAGGAGCGCTCCATGAAAAAGACCTTTCCTTTTCGTCTGAATGTATCGTGGCTTTCCCGCTTTTAATGAGGATCCTGTAGGGACCATTAGGGTCTTACCCAAGGCCTCAGGTTTCCCAGAGGTTGGTCCCCCAGGATATTGTAGGGGGTTTCCCTTTTGTGGAGGTCCGAGGGTTGGCTTGTGGCTTGCTGTCTCCCCATGCTGATGGCTGTGGGTCACTGAACAATCAAAGTTGCACGTCCTTCTGCAGGGAAAGCAGCCAACACGCAGACTGTTCCGCCTGCCTGTGGAGGCCGGTGAGGCCAGGGCCTGTCGGGACTTGAAACCATGAGGCAAGTAGGTGTGTGGTTCTGGGCGCTCTTCCTCCTAAAGCCATCTCTGCTTGCCAGTTCCCAAAGCCTCATGCACAGGGCACTAGGAAGGGCACACTGAGCCTTGGGTGGGAGTCCTGGCCCAAAGCCGCAGATGGGTGGAGGAATGGGGTAGACACGGTCTGAGGCTGAGCTGCCAGGTTTCTTGGGCTTTGCACAGCTGCCTTCTGAGGTCAGAGGGTGCACTCTCTAGCCAGCCAGGTCACGGGGCCTCCTTGCTGGCAGGGCTTCCACTGGCTTCTAGGTCTGTAGCCTACGGATGCCAGGGTGGCGGTGCAACCAGGGAAGGCAAAGTTGCTGTTCCTAGGTCCGAGGCCAGGCCTGGACATGATCCTTAGCGTTGTCCCTCAAAGTCCAAGTCTACTTCTGAGACTCAGGAGACCAGAAGGCTGTGCAGGTCTTGCTTCTGCTTGTCTGCCCCTAGACTGCCTGACCAGAGGAAACATGTCTCTGGCTGCTTCTGCTTCCTTTCCTCCTCTTCCCAGGCCCATTGTCGTGGCATTATGGGAGGTCCTGTCTCAGTTGCACCAGCTCTCCCTGTCCAGCTGCTCTGCCTCAAGTGATGAACCTAGAGAAGATGGCCCTCTCCTGTCACGTGGTGGAGGAGCGCACTGCTGCTGGGAGGTCACGCTGTCTCTTCCTGCCAGGTGACCGTAGAGGGTAGTCTAGAATAGAACCAAGAACCTAGGCAGGGGATTGCTGAGTTTGGGGGTTTAAGGAAGGTGGGAAGGAAGCCTTTTGCTGCTGGTTGTCTGTCACCTGATGGCCATGCTCAGATCACCAGTGTTAATGAAACCCTGGTGCCTGGGGGCAGGTGGGCGCTCTCCTCCCTTGCCCTGAGCCAGTCTGACTAATTTACAGCTTTTACCCCCCCTCGTTACCCCAAAGGCTTCTCTCTAAGGTGACAAATGTTGGGGGTTGGTTTCGAGTTTCATGTTTTCACATTACTGAGTGGAAAAAAAAAACAACGAAAAAAAACACCCTTTTCTATACCCCAAAAAAGCAGCTCCTACAGAGAAGACAGCTTCACCTTGAAAGCGCTAAAAAGTCCCCATTTTCGCTTCATGTTCTCAGAGACACAACCGGAGACTGAAGGGTTAAGAGGAAAGGGCTGGAGCCCAGCTGAGCAGCGCTAGGGACAACCCCTTTGGAGGTGGCAGCACCTGCCGTTGTGCTTCAAGTCAGGGGAAGACTTTCCCATGCTCCTCCTGCTCGGGGCTCTGTGGCTTCCAGGGGACAGTGGTAGACTTCAGGGCATGCGCAGTCAGTTCAGGGTGAGGAGGGACCGGAGTAGGAAGAAACCACCTCTCTTCCTTAGCTAATTTGATCCTGTAGGTCTGGGGGACAAGGTCTCTCCCCGAGAGAGGGTTCTTTAGGTAGAGCGGTAGGTGGGAAAATACAGGGTCCATCTGGCACATAGAGACTGAGGGGGGGGTGCCACCCCCTCCTGTCTCTGGCTGGTAGCATTATAAACTACCCCCTGCCAGGGGCAGATGGCCTCCATGGCAGATGGAGACTAGGCTAGCAGTGGGATGGGCTTCCTAGCCTCAGCCTGGCCTCCTCTCAGGCTAATAAGGCAACCAAGGAGGCAGTGACAGATCCTCTCATTCTCTCTCTCTCTCTCTCTCTCTCCTCTCTGCATCTCTCTGTGTGTGCTTGCTTGCTTGCTTTTG